ACCGACTAAACATAATTCACCAACATACGGGGTGACGGACCACACGTCCCCGTGTGACCAGCGTGTCCATGACAGCAGCGCCAGTCGCGCACAGCAGGAAAATGGGGAATCGTAACAACACGGGTAGCCTCCGCCAACCCGATATGAATTAATTGTGGTATACATACGGTAATGGTCACGGTATATCGCGGACAAAATTCCTTGGCACAACAACCTAGCCTCCTGCTAGTGTTCTGTTCAGGGACCTTCCCCCAAAGCGCGGGTCCCGATATAACGCGGTGATTGTTTTTTCCGTCACTACGCCGCGGTACGGTATATTGGGATCCAATACTGCTGTACTTAGAAAGATAAAGATTGAGAAAAGAAATAACAAAAACACACACACACGCGATACCCTTCGACTTTCTGTGGTGATATCTCGAACGGGTAGCCTTCCATGTATATTTCCAAACAAAAGGGAACAGGTGGACCGATTCGTCTCCCCCCATACAGGGTGCAACTTGCTGTGGTCGTTCTCACCAGAGCAGGGACCAAAGAGCCCAGCGAGTGGCCCGTCACGGGGTTGGCGGGGCCGAACACCGTGGGCGCCGAGAGCTGGCTCGAGAGCGTGGAGCGAAACGCTTTGAGCTCGGAGACAAAGCCCTGCGGAACAACAAAGACGACGACAGCAGCGGCGTGGATGGCGAGCGGCAGAATCGAACGCGAGGACGAACGGCGAAAACACCGTCACAGCAATGCGTGAGGGGTGGAGCAGCGAACGGAGATCAGCGAGAGAAGGCCCGGCACAAATGATCACCACTAACAGGTCGGGACCACCAGAAGCACAAGGCGGCAGTGGCGATCACACGGAAGACATCGCGAGCATGGGAAAACGACCACCAACACACAAAAAAAGAGCCTCCTGTTGTTGCACCACCACGACCAGTTGCACTGGTGTGGTGCCAAACTTGGAGCCACAGCAGGTGTATCGCAGAATCGGTGGCATAACCGGGAACCACAAAGGCACAGATGTTACATCAGTAGAACGACAACGGTTTCGAAGCGTAGAGGCAATGATAGAATCGCAGGAAAACCACACGCAACAGCCGTAGTAGCAGTGCAGGGGGGGAAGCGTAGACTGCTGTGGTCAAGGGGGATGGACACACATCCGCGACACATGACCGAACGCGTAGCAATGAACCGAAAACCACGATAACAAGACAGCAGTGCAATGCTCGTGTACAAAAAAACATAAGGGTACAACGCACCTCGCTGAGGTCGTCCGACTTGAGTTCCTTGGACAGCTCGCTCGTCATCTCCACGGGGGCGGGGAATAGCCACACCGTCACACTCGCAAATGCCGCCTGCAGTAGGAAACCCGACGAACACACCAGCAGACACAAGCAAATCGTCATCAAGCCGGTGGTTTGTTCCCATCAGCCAAACCGCTAGAAAAGGAGGGCAAGACGAAGACCGTCGTTTGAAGCACAACCCATAATACCATCGTAGCTAGCCAGAAAAACATACCTGAGGCTAAACCTATACCATCGCAACTAGATCAAGGCGTTCCACCTCTCGAAAAGAGCAATTCGACGTTGGTGGTTACGCCCTAGATAGTGGTCCCCGTAGGACAACTATTTAAGGACTGGCGGCCACGAGCGAGAGCACCGTGCTGCTATTGCGATGGTATGATAGATGGCGCACCGTGATTGTCCTCCTGAGCTCGTTCTTGACGGCCACCTCCGACCCCATGCCCCTGTTGTCTAGCCCGAACAGCTGCTTCTTCACCTGTTCATCGAACAGCAGACCAACAAGAACAAACGTCTACGAAAGTAAGCAGGGCTGGAGATATATTCACACACAGATTTTCAGGAAAGAACAGAAAAAAAAAGAAAACACAAACGAGAGGGCGCACACTTTACTCTGCCAGGGATAGTACAATAACGTTCGAGGGCAGCACACGTTTTGGAGCGCACGTGACAGGGCAGGAAGCACTGCAGAAGAGCACACACGACCATCGATTCCAGGCACAAACGACAACAGAGACAAACAAAGAAACATTTGCTGCCCAGCCAAAGGACCCCCCCCCCCCCCCCCCCCCCCCCCCCCCCCCCCCCCCCCCC